CTCACAGGTACTGGACAGGTCAGTAGTCATTGGTGCCTGTTTTTTTTCCACAGGCAACAGAGTATTCCATGAAGATTGGCACTTTTGGAGCATCCTGAATTTTAGTAGTCTTTGAAGGTGAACTTGGATGCTGATCTTGGCTTCCCAAGATAAGGGATATTGTTGGACCCTTACCAGGTGGGCACTGGGCAGCAGGTCAACTATTACCAGTGGATGGTTGATGGCTACTCCAGGTGGGTTCTTCTCAGCCCAAACTCTGGGGAAGTGGGAGCTCCACGTTTCCAGGGCCAGGCTGATGTTCATGGCAGACTGAGAATGGAGTCTCCATTCTTCCTCTTGGGGAATTGTGATGGACAAAAATAAGGTGTCCTTTGGGGGTCCCAGCTGTGTGGGTCCCAGCAGTTCAAGGTGGGCAGGGTCATCAGTCGAGAAGGTGATACGGGCCCCCAGCTTGGATAGCAAGTCCCTTCCCATCAAGGGTATTGGACATTCTAGGACATACAGGAAATCATATTTCACCTGGTGTCCCCCCATGATGCATGATGTGGGTTTCACAAAAAGAGTGTTTGATTTGGGTTCTGGTAGCTCCCATGATTTTTGTTTTTCTTTTTGACATGGGCCCCACTGGTTTGGTTACAACTGAATGCTCTGCTCCAGTATCCACCATAAAGCTCATTGACTGGCCCCCAAGCTTTATTTTGACCATGGGCTCATGGGAGGGTCTAAGTTGATTAAGCTCTGTCTGAGTCAATGCTGGCTAGCCCGATAAAGGCGGCAGCAGAGGGTTCTGTCTTGTATGGGGCAGTGTTCAACTCCACTCCTTGATTTTTCTTTTCTTCCCTCTGAGGTCTAACAGGGCAGTTCTTCCAGTGTTGAATTTTCTTGCTGTATGCACACTGATCCCGTTGTAAGGGGACATGGGTCCTGGGCTTTGCTTTTGTTTGCTTTGACCTGAATTCAGTTGACTGGCTTAGGGCTACAGCAAGGAGAGCTGCCTTTTGCCTCATTCTCTGGTCGACCTTGTCAGTCTCCCTCTTTGCAGTTTGTTCTTGGTTTACAAAGACTTTGTTGGCTATCTCCAATAGTTGGTGCTGTTCATTTGGCAAACCCTTCGTACTTCTGTAGCTTTCTTTGGATATCACCTTGTGCTTTTCTCACAAAGACGGCATTCACTATACACTGATTTTCGGGGGTCTCAGGGTCGAAGGGGGTATATAACCAGAACGCCTCACAAAGTCTCTCATAAAAGTCCAAGGGACTTTCATCTGGCTTTTGGAGGACCTCAGTAGTCTTGGACATATTGCTGGGCTTCCTATTAATCCTTCCATGAAGGTTTGTCAATATTTTTCTAGTTTGGCCCTCCTGTTCTCCAAGTTCGGGTCCCAATGTGGATCCTCCTCTGGGAAAGCACCCCTTAGCCAGGCCTCAGGATCTAATAAGCCTCCTGGGGCACATCCTGCCATCCATTTTCAGGCTTCTGTCATTACTCGTTGTTGCTCCTCAGTATTAAGAATTAGGAGGAGCTGGCAGCAATCTCCCCAAGTGGGATGGGTCTGACAGATGGGCTCAACTAAGTCGATTATAGCCTTGGGTTTTTCCAAGTAAGAGGTATGATGTTTCCAATTTAGCAAGTTCATGCTAACAAACAGCTGATAATAGAAGATAGATCATCCACCCTGGACATTGTCCTCTTTTGTTACTCGTTGGGGGCCTCTGATCTTGTGCAGGGACATTTGGATTGAGACCACTGGCTTGAGGCTGAGCAAAGGTGCCTTCCCTTTGGGTCCAACTCTGCAGGTGATAGTGGGGACACAGATGGTGGTGGTGTGTCTGGTGGGGGGGGCTCTGATATAACTGGTGAAGAGGGGGACTCTTGTATTAGTGGTGTGTTATAGTGGGTAGGGGGCAGTAGCAATGGAGTCTCGTCATCTGGGTCTTCCTGGATGATTGGAGGATATTTTAGCTCAGTCTCAGTTTTGATCTTTTCGTTGAAGTGGAGCCTTGGCTAGGAGAATTCTACTCTGTTCCCGCCTGCTAGTGCAAAACCTTATCCAAGGGGGCTGAGCTAATGCAATCTGTAGCCAGTAATCTCTATGTGGGAACTGATCTGGGTAGCCCAGTTCCCCAGTTTACCACCCAGTACACAGTCTTTGTCTTGGTTACATTCAGAGTTCCCTCTGTAGGCCAGTCCTTGGTTAACATTGGCCACTCTACTGTGCAGACAGTTTTCGGTTTTCTTGGAGACTTTTTAATATCATAGTCTCCTAAATAACCTTTCCTGAAGTTTATGATCATAAAGTCTAAGACAGTGGGTTGCCAAGGGGACCCTCCCATAGTGTGTCTCCCACTTTGTTGGTGTCACAGAACAAAAGACAAAGACCTCCAGGACAGGCACTGTCCAGAACAGAACTCGTGATGCCTGCCTGGCCGTTTCTCTGAAGGGAATTTAAGATGCCTCTTAGCAATTGGAGGGTGGGTATAAACCCCCAACCTGGACCAGCCCTATGATGGGGCTGTGGCTGCCTTCAGCTGTATGAGGTCGTCACATTAGGGCCCAATCGACTCCATAGCCTAAAGACCATGGAGCCACACACATTCACACCACTTTCATTCTCTTTCAAAAGCAGATGAACCTCCCCCAGAGATTCTACCTGAGCAGTTACAATAACTGCTGGGAGGTGATCAGACTCCCATCACCACCATTCGGGCACCCTGACTGACTGGGCATCCTGGGATATCTTACTGGTTCCTGGAGTCCTGGTTGATTTATCCACTCTCTCCATTGGTCCAACTAGTGGAATGCAGTCCGTTGGTTCGGGTTGCAGCTCGTGGCTCATGGAGTCTGGATCCCAGACAACTGGTCAGGAGGTTTGCCTTCCTTATCCTCGGGCTGCTCCCGGGCCACAGCTGAGTTCAACAACGGTGGTAGCTCAAAGAGCCAGCCTAACCTGAGGGCACAGCAGGGGCTTCCTGGCCCATGCACCAAAAATGTCACACCAACTCACTGGGAACAGGAATGAATGCACTCAGAACAGGCACCAGAGACTGAGGAGAATCGAAGGTGTTTATTCCAGAAGTCTCAGGGGGAGTAGCCTCCCAAAACCTGAGCCCTGATCCTCAGTTTCAAGCTGCTTTTATAGAGCTTTTTGTGGTTACAACATACGTGAGTATGCCATTGGTGGATTTACAATTTTAAATTTAGGACTGAGAACAGTTACTTCTACAACAAGCATTGAAGCAGACATTTTTATGGATATTTCCATATGAGGTGTAATAAAGCGTGTCTACAGAAACAGATATTGTAGTTAAGGAAAATGGCGTATAGCTGCTTACTTATAGTGCATTTACAGAAGCAGAGATGGCATATAGCTGCATACTTAGTGTATTTATAGAAGCAGAGATGGCAAGCAGTTGCTTACTTAAGATAAGACCCTTGAGGTCAACTTTCCTGCTTAATTCCTGTTTTGTTTTGTTTTTTCTATCTCAACACCCCTAGGAGGTCCTGCGAATGTATGTCCATATTGGTTGAATTGTAGCTTGGTTATGTACATTTAGGACAGAAGTTACCAGAAAACATAAATCAATACATGTGAAATTGACATTGGTTCAGCTTGAGGTGAAATGTCTTCAAGTGGGGGTTTGCAGGCTACAGATGGATTCAAAGACTTCATGATTGGCAATTAGTTAGCTAGAGTCATTTAAGGAATTTTGAAAGCAATAAAGGAAATGTGTAGCTTGAGGAATGATAATGGAGTCAAGTGTCTTGGTATGTAGATGAAGCTTCATGGATCACAGACTTCAGAGAGAACAGGTAAATATCTTAAAGGGACTGGGAGACTCCAAAAGACAGCTTTACAGGGTCATAAAGCACTTTAATTTTCCTTCTTTATTTGTTATGTGATGTTATGCCACAGTCAAGTTGGAAAGGAAACTATTTTACACAGGGACAGTTAATGAAAAGCCCATCTCCCAAGTTCCTTAGTTAGGAATCCGGCAAGGTAAAGAAAAAGGTCTATGTTTAGTCCTCAAGAATATCACAAAGGCTACAGATGAGCACCCAATAGAAGAGTAAATATACAGAGTAAGGTCTGGAAGGGTCCCAAGTTTCTGTCCTGGCACAGCTGGGATGCATCACTCTGGGTACATAAGTGTGTTTGCCAACCTGTAAGCTCTTCACACTCTATAGTTTAGATGTTTTTATGAATTGATCACAAATGCATGAGGGATTATTAACTCAAAATCCAGCCCTTCTCTCCTGTCTGGAGGTGAGGGGTGAAGAATATCTGAATCTTCCATTCATGGTCTGGTCTTTGTGACCAACCCCTATCTTGAAGCTATCCAGGAGCCCATTAAGAGTCACCTCAATGTAACAAAAAATGTTCTTATTACCAGGAAATTTGAAGGAATTTAGGAGTTCTGTGTCAGGAACTGGAGTCAAACACCATATATTAGAATAAGATGCAGCCCTATCCCTTAGAAAATCAAAAGTTTTAGAAATTCTGAACAGAGTACAAGAGATAAAAATCAAACATACATTTCTCATTATATTACATCATCTCAATATACTTTTATTACACGGTCATTACAAGTTAGAGTTTACAGACTGGTGTACATTAAATAAATTCCAAGTAAGCTGCTCCCTAAGGACCTATGGGAAAACACAATAATCAGATGGATAAGCTCCCTCTAAATCAAACTTTTAGAAAGTTTACTTGTAGACTAAAATGCCATTGATGGAACTTAGACACTAGTGACCTTTAATTCCAAAGGGCTTGGGTATCCTGACCTTATCTTCTAGGACTTTTTCTTCCAATATCACATCTATACTCATCTTATTGGGGTCTGTGGCATTGTCCATTAAACACAAAAACTAAACATAAACACTTTTTAGTTCCTTTATGTGCCTGTTACATGGGGCTTATAGGCCAGGTGGTTGAATATTTGCTGACAGCAAACCTTGAAAATACATAGGCTTTATCTAAAAAGTTTTATTTTTATAAGAAACAAGAATGGAAAATGAAAAAGCTAAGAAAGTATATATAAGAAAATTCTAGGAATAGCCTCTAGAACCTACTGTTTTTTGTTCGAAAACTCACAAGGGTCTCAGGTTATAACATAACGAGTAAGTCCTCCCCCTCGGACCTCCGACAGCCTCCGGCAATGTCGTAAAATATTCAGTAACATGTGAAACTTCTTGTCAACTCTCAAAGTTGTGAATTCCTTTATGTCAGCTTCCACTATAAAATAATGACCTGAAAATAAGAGTATTAGTGCTAACCCTTATGAGGCCAATTTTCATTTCTTTTTGAGTGCAGCCTCGACCTGCTGTGCTCTGGTGATCTTTCCGCCTCAGCCTTCCAAGTAGCTGGAACTACAGGTGTGCGCTACCACACCTGGCTAATTTTTGACTTATTGTAGAGATGAGGTCTTGCCAAGTTGCCCAGGCAGGTCTTGAACCCGCAGGCTCAGGCAATCTACACACCTCAACCTCCCAAAGCGCTGGGATTACAGGCTGAGCCACTGAGCTCGGCTTGAAGTCAATTTTCAAGACGAGTCTTTAATGTGTTAAATTGTTAACATAAAAGCTATTAATCATTTTTACTGTCATTACCCAATAAAAGCAAGAACTGGTATTCTTGTTAAAGTAATTATCCTATCAACAGAAGTTGCATGATATTTACAATTCAGAATTGTAGCCCTGCTTATTAGGTCACTAGCTATCTGTTGGTATCTCAAACAATTCACTTTTCAAAAGGCAATATAATGTAGTAGTTAATAGAATAAAACCCACAGTGGAACTGTCATTAAACTGGATACCCTTGTGCAAATAATGGAAATAACACTCCATGAGCGTTAAGTTTTCTTTGCCTAGTCTGCAAAACGAGGGAAATAACAACACCTATGTGATAGAGATGTTGTAAGGACAAAAACACTATTTTAGCATACTATCTGGTACACAGTAAGTGCTACAGAAGCAGAATTACTTGTTATCATTGCTATTCCACTTTTTAAAAGACTGGGTATAGTTCCACAAGACTCTAAAGCTGTGTTTCTCAGACTTGGCACTACAAAGCGTTCCCTGGAGACTGTTTAGCAGCACCATTGGCCTCCACCTACTTGATGCCAGGAGCACCTCCCACCTGAGTCGTAACAACCAAAAATGTCTCCACACAAGGCAAAATATCTCCTGGCAAAAAAAAAAAATCGCCCCTGGTTGGTGACAAACAAATATTCTAAATTTATAATGTTCTAAAATTAGCTTTGTTTCCCATGATTTAGTTATACTCTAAACAGTTCACATACACACATACATATGCTAGAATTTTACCTTTGGTATCCTTTGTTTCTTCATCAATAAATCTGTGATAGAGATTTCTGGTTACAGAATTCATAGATTTTTTTGATTGGTGGAGGATCTTATATTTACTTATCACTGCCTTGTTGATTTCTTTAATAACATCATTAACTTGATAATAGGTTAAGCGGGATTTCATGTATCTGTAAAAAAAAGATATATGGGTTTTTAAAAAATCTTTTCCTATGTTTTTTTTTTTTAAAGGATCATCATATAAAATTACGTTCTTTAAGCCAGGCTTGGTGGCTCAGCCTGTAATCCCGCGACTTTGGGAGGCTGCGGTGAGTGGATTGCCTGAGCCCGCGGGTTCAAGACTCGCCTGGGCAGCGAGACCTCATCTCTACAATAAATCAAAAAATCAGCCAGGCATGGTAGCGCATGCCTGTAATTCCGGCTACTTGGAAGGCTGAGGCAGAAGGATCGCCGGAGCCCAGCAACCCGAGGCTGCGGTGGCCAGGAGTGGCCACTGCACTCCAGTCTGAGCGACAGAGTGAGACTCCAACTCAAAAAATAAATAAATAGATAAATAAATAAAATAAAATTACTTTCTTTGAAAAACATAAGTATGATGACTTTGTACAGTAGCAAAGCTATAGTATACTGAAAAGAATTTCGTATCAGCCTCCAACTAAATCAGAGCTATCTCAACAGCTGAAAATTAAACAAAGTACATATTAGTGTATATCTTTTCTAATTATATTTGGGTACATCAATCTCTACTCTGCACCTATGGAGAATTAATATTACAATTTAAAATAAACTCTAAATTCTGATTCAAATGGACTGATTAACCATAAGATAAATGATTATTTGAATATTTAAAAACATTTGTGAACAAAGGAAAGAAAAATTAAAGCATGGTGGCTCATGCCTGTAATCCCAGCACTTTGGGAGACTGAGGTGAGGATTGCTTGAGCCCAGGAGTTTGAGAACAGCCTAGGCAACATAGTGAGAACTATTTCTACAAAAATAAAAAATAAAATTTGCTGGGTATTATGACATGTGCCTGTAGCCCCAGTTACTTGGAAGGCTGAAGGATTTACTAAATCTAGGAGGTCAAGGTGGTGAGCCATGATCACACTGTAATCCAGTTTGGGTGACAGAATGAGATCTCGACTCAAATAGATAGATAATAGACATAGAGGAATGATAGATAGACAGAAGAAAATAAAAGAAGCTATTCAACTTGTAGCACTCTAATGCTATTATAAAAATTATTACCTGGCTGGGCTCGGTGGCTTAGTCTGTAATCCCAGCACTTTGGGAGGCCAAGACAAGTGGATTGCCTGAGCCTGCGGGTTCAAGACCAGCCCAGGAAACTTGACAAGACCTCACCTCTACAATAAATGAAAAATTAGCCTGGCATGGTAGTGTGTGCTTATAGTTCCAGCTATTTGGAAGGCTGAGGCAGAAGGATGACCAGAACCCAGCAGTTTGACACTGGAGTGACCATGAGTGTGCTGCTGCACTCCAGCCTGGGTGATGGAGTGAGAGTCCAACTCAAAAACAAAAACAAAAATCTATTCAGAGAAAGAAAGGAACAAAAGAAGAAAAGAAAGAAAATGAAGGATGACAAAGACCATGATAAAAAAGATGACAATGATAATTAAGAAGATAAGATGGGCCAGGGGATGCAAAGGAATGAGAGGAATCTGAATTTAAGCTGCCAGGACAGAAGAAAACCAATGGGTATCATGTTCTTTGTTGTTGCCTATCTCAGATTCCCTTAGAGCACTGTTTCTTTCACTCTAAATTCTACTCTTCAACCTGAATCTCTCTCTTGGCCACCCTTCCAGTCACTATGGAATCTCAGAATATAAAAATAGGAGACACAATTTTGAATATTCTGAACACACCAAAAACAAAACTTAATAATTTGTTTCAATTTTTCTCAACCAATTGTGAGTTCACTACATTAAGCTCTTTCCTTTGCTTCTGTTCCAAGTGGCAACTTTTTTTTCATTTCAAAATACTTTAAGGCAATACATCCAAATTATTATCATTTCAACATGTAATCAGTGTAACTAATAATTAAGATACTTAAAAGTCTTTATTTAAACTGGCTTTAAAATCCAGTGTTTATTTTCCAACTACCACGTTTCATATCACACTAGTCACATTAAAACAATTTTTTTTTCAATTTTTAAAATTTTATTTTACTTTTTTAAAATCTTAGATTCAGAGGGTACACATGTGATCATCACATGAACATATTTTGCAGTAGTGGGGATTGGGTCTCAGGCGACCCATTCCCTGAATAGTGTGCACTGTGCCCTGTAGGTCGTTTCTGAACTCTACCCACCCTCTCTCCTCCCCACTTATTGGTGTCCCCAGTGTCTATTATTTCCACCTTTGTGACCTCTTAGCTCCCACATATAATTGAGAACTTGTGTTTGGTTTTCTGTTTCTGAGTCAGTTTAAATAGGATGATGATCTTCAGTTCTATCCATGTTGCTGCAAAGGACATCAATTAATTCTTTTTGTGGCTATGTAGTATTCCATGGCATACATGTGCCACATTTTTATTACCCACTGAATGGTTGATGGGCAATTAGGTAGATTCCAAGTCTTTGCAATTGTGAATTGTGCTACAATGAACATATGGGTGCAGGTGTATTTTTTATATAAAGACCTCTATTCCTTAGGGCAGATACCTAGTAGTGGGGTTGCTGGATCAAATGGTAGATCTACTTTTAGTTTTTTTTTATTTTTTTTTTTAAGTTGGAGTCTCACTCTGTCACCCAGACGAGCACAGCGGTACACTCATGGCCACCAGTCTCGACCTGATGGGCCCAGGTGATCCCTCCACATCAGCCTTCCAAATAGCATGCAGCGTGTGTCACCATGCCCAGCTAATTTTATTTATGTACCAATTGTAGAGATGAGGTCTTGCCAAGTTGCCAGGTTGGTCTCAAACCCCTGAGCTCAGGCAATCCTCTCACCTCTCCCTCCTAAAGTGCTGGAATTACAGGAATGAGTCACCATGCCCAGCCTACTTTCAATTCTTTGCATAATCTTCATATTACTTTCCATAGAGGTTGCACTAATTTACCCTCCCTCCAACAGTATATAAGTGTTAATTTTTCTCCACATCCATGCCAGCATTTGTTTTTTGGTTTTTTAATAATGGCCATCCTGACTGGTATAGGTGGTATCTCATTGTGGTTTTAATTTGCTTTTCCCTGATTATTTGTGATACTGAACATTTTTTCATGTTTATTGACCATTTGTATATCTTCTTTTGAGAGATGTCTGTTCATGTCAGACATCTCAACAGGATGAGAATAGGATGTTTCTCCATACGTTTGTGTCCTCTAATTTCTTTCATTCTTTAATGGGATTTTTTGTTTTTTCTTTCTTGCGTTTTCTTTGACTTTTGTGGATTCTGCATTTTAGTCCTTTGTCAGATGCATAGTTTGTGAATATCTTCTCCCATTGTATAGGTTGCCTATTTACTCTGTTGATTATGTATTTTGCTGTGCAGCAGCTTTTTAGATTAAGTCCCTCCCACTTATTTATTTTTGTTTCATTTGCTTTTGGGATTTTAGCCATACATACTTTGCCTAGGCTGAGGACCGGATGAGTTTTCCCTAGGGATTATTTCAGGATTTTTATGGTTTCAGGTCTAACATTTAAGTCTTTAATACTTCTTGAGTGAATTTTGGTAATATGGGGAGAGATAGGGATCAAGTTTCATTTTTTAAATGTAGCTATCCAATTTTCCCAGCACCATTTGTTGAACAGGGTGTCCTTTCCCCAGTGTATGTTTGTCTGCTTTGTCAAAGATCAGTTGGTTTTAAACATTTGGGTTTATTTCTGGATTCTCTGTTCTGTTCCATTGGTTCATGTGGCTGCTCTTGTACCTGTACCATGCTGTTTTGGTTACTATAGTCTTATAGCATAATTTGGAATCAGGTAATGGAATACCTCCAGCTTTTTTCCTTTTGCTTAGGATTGCTTTGGCTATTCTGGTTCTTTTTTGGTTCCACATTAATTTTAGAATTTTTTTTCTAATTCTGTGAAAAATGTCATTAGTAGTTTAATAGGGATTCCACTGAATCTGTAGGTTACTCTGGGTAATAAGGTCATTTCAATAATGTTGATTCTTCCAATCCATGAGAATAGGATGTTTCTCCATATGTTTGTGTCCTCTGTAATTTCTTTCATCAGAGTTTTGTAGTTCTCCTTGTAAAGATCTTTCATCTCCTTGGTTAAATATATTCCTAGGTATTTTAACTTTTTGGCTGCCAAAGTGGCATTTTTCTAATCAAAACTTCTTTAATATACAATAATATAGAGATTTATTTAAAAGGAAATGCTCATATTTTCATAAAAATATTCATTTTCATTATTCCTCCCTTTTCTAGATTCATTTTTGACGCCCTGTTTCTAACCATTTCTGCAAACCCTTGATACCACAGTTCCCCATAATGCACTCATGAATTCCTTCAAATATTTTCAGCTTTTACCTTGATATCCTCCATATCTGCCTCCCATTGCTGCCAATGCTTTTCTCTTTAATTCCATCCACCCTTATGCCCCAGTTTCTCTCCAGATTGAATAAATCTTTCACCTTTTAGAATTCTTCCCTTAGTATCAGGTTTTTAAAAGAAATAAGACTGGATGTGGTGGCTCATGCCTGTAATCTCAGCACTTTGGAAAGCCAAGGCAGGGAGATCACTTGAGGGCAGAAATTTGAGACAAGTCTGGGCAACATAATCAAAAAAATAAAATAAAATAAACTAGCTGGGCATGGTGGCACACGCCGGTAATACCAGCTACTTGTGAGACTGAGGTGGAAAGTTGTCCAACCCCAGGTGGTGGAGGTTGCAGTGAGCTATAATTGTGCCACTGTACTCCAGCCTAGGTGACAGAGTGAAACTCCAATTTTAAAAGTAAATTAATTAATTAAAAATCCTGTGCTTGGAATACATTTTTTTCCTCCTGATCGTCTTTGTTTCTTTCATTAAATAATCCCTTAGTGAAAAATGAATACCATGACAATTCTAATGGCCTTCCAATGACTCTTCATGAAAGCATTCTCTTTCTTTCAAAAAAATATTTATTTCAATAGCTTCAGGGCACAAATGGCTTTTGGTTACATGAGTGTTTCGTATAGTGGTGAAAAAGTCTGGACTTTAAG